GCAAACAAAGGCCCTCCGCTAAAATTTTACGAAGTTAAGGCTATACAGACACACACACAAAAAAGTAGAAGCAACAACTGAAACTGAAGGAATGAAATTCTAGGAGTGTAGCAGGCGACACTAAGAAGGACCAAATAAGAAATACTAAATTCGGCAAATGCTCAAGATTTTTAATTTAAATAATAAAATTCCAAGATCCAGACAACTGTGACAACATCACGTTCTACAAATGGACGACAGACAGATTCCGAAGAAAATTTTAACATACATACCGAAAAAAGAAATAATTCCGTGATTTAGCCCGGAAGTCAACTACAACTGACTGAGCGACTGAGCGACCGCCGCTTGTCGACGAAGCTAGTGCCAACTTTAGCGTATAGAGGGTGTTGAGTGGTCAGCTCAATGAATTCTTACAGCCGTTAATTTCGGTTTTCTAGACCAGAGCCGCTATTTCCTTGATATAGCTCCTCAGTTATCCTCACGAGGTTGACTGGACCCGGTTCCAGACCCACTGCTTCTCAGAAATAATCTGGTAGCGCCGAGAATCGAACCCGAATCTCTGGATCTGTATCCAGGAACTCTGACCACTAGACCACAGAGGCGGTCCTTTCTTAAATGGTACTCATTATCAATGAAAGCATTTAGATAAGACTTCATTCTTTGATATCACACATTAAAATATCTGAGTAACTTAGTATGAATTCATATTTTTAAGACCAGTTCGATTGAAATAACGGAAGTAGTACTACAAACTCAAGGAACATTCGGACTCTAACCATGAGACTTCTATAATGCAAAAAAATATTGCAGTGAGAGGTTGTAAACCGTTTTCCAGTTTCAATACACAGTTGAAAAGGTACAGATTACATGCAGTTTTCTATTACACTTTTACTTTGTGAAACTCAATCTGTTTTAAGTGTTTAGAAATGCAAGCTTGTGTACACTTGTTCTAAAATAACATGACGGATGTGGAGGTTATAGGAAACCATGTTGCCATCTAGGTAACATATGACGAGCATTTGCCCAGTTCCTGTCAGCATGAGGAACTGGCATTCGTTCTGCAGATGTGAGTTCTGCTGGCGGCACGTTGCTCTTACTTGAGTATTTCAGTCCGTGCGTTCGCTGTGAGATATTTTCTATGGAATTTTGCTGTTTGTTTACATATCTCTTCCTACAACACAGTGAACATTAAACCTAAGCCCACGTATCTTCAGATTTGACCCAACAAATATTCTGAATATGATGACTATGAGCCTGCCATTAGCTCTGTCCATCTTTTTTTTATAAGGGGTACGCGGTAGCGTAATTGGTTGAGGCACTATGCTACGAGCTAGAAGGTCGCGGTTTCAAGTCTCGATGTGGTCATTGGACTTTTTTCCAATTGACCTAATCCTTCTATCCGCTCTATGGACCTGGGTTCGACTCAGGAATATTCTTGGAATATTCTGGGGGGTGATGGGCGGCCGGTGCGTAAAGCTGACAACCTTACGGCCATCTGTGAGCCGATTATCTAGATAATATGGGAACCTTAATATCTCAAAACCCTATGGGACTCCAAGGCCTGTTACAGGGATAGCTTTACTTTTACTTACTTTACGTTATCATTAGTATTATTTTTATTAGATCGAACAAAATTCCCTGCAACTTTCAGCGTATTCTACAGAACTCCGCGGCTTAATGTTATGTATTTATGGATACTCAAACTTTCAAACTTATACAGCCACGTAAGGGGACCTCTAAATCCTTACGTGATAAGCTGTAAACTTAATTACCTTGAAATACTAAGTCGTCACTCCACTGAATACTTTTATTAGCTTACACCAACATTAACACACGTATTTTCTACATTCTTTACACTACTTGGATTGTGACAGTGAGCAGGTATGTCGTGATCGATTTTAAGCTCAGACCAAATAATTCATAAGCTGCAAACGTGCGTATGTACCGTACATTATAACTGCACAAGGAATGCATGTGTATTATATTATCTTGATCCGTCGCAGTTCAGATAATAGCACTCACCTGCCAAGGTGGAAGGTAAGCTTACAGAGCTCGTGTTGAGCTGGAGTCGGATTAAGGATGAAGGGAATTTTATCTGGAATAAGTTAAGATTTCATTACATCCAAATTAACTAAATAATTCCCTGGCTGGTAGTATCTAGAAATCTTAATCCAAATTTCTTCCTCTTATGGTGTCAACTATTTCAGATCTGCATATGCAAGTCACGGTCATGGAGATGATGTATGGACTTCATAATTAAATACAGTAGAACTTAGTTATAACGTCATCAAAGGGACCTAAAAATAATGTCGTTATAAACGAATGTCGTTGTAATCGAAATGGGCACTTCCACAGTAGCCTTATGTTAGTCACGTAAAAATCTACCAAAAACCGAGTTAAAATGTTGCATTTTTTAGTGAAATACGTAGTTAAGTACAGACTAACGTAACATTAACGTGGAATTGCCCAAATGTGTAATATCAAAGACATATTACAGCGCTTTTCACTGACAATACACACCGCACTAATACTGTATATTAAAGGTAGGCCTACTCACCAAATTACAGTAGATTACATCAATTGTTGTGCCTTACTGTACCTAGATACGAGTACAGTAATCAGTTATCTTCATCTGTTTCCTGTTACTTGCCCAATACACACTTTCTAAATTACGTTCAATGTCCATATCAGAGAAATTCAGGAATGAAAATGACGTTACATACGAGGTTGATGCATTTGTGCATGTCGTACTAAGCAAGGTATAAAAACAGTTGCTTTATGAGGAATTAGTTCGTACCATTGAATATTTGACGCAATAGACAAGGTGTCGCAGAAACCGATGTTGCTATAACCAAGTTTTACTGTATATTCATCAGCATGAGTATCATACTTGCCTCTGCGATCTAGTGATCAGAGTTCCTGGGTACAGATCCATAGGTCGGGGTTCGATTTCCGGCGCTACCAGGTATTCGGAGAACTAGTGGGTCTGGAACGGGGTCCACTCAGACTAGTGAGGATAATCGAGGAGCTATTTCAAGGAAATAGCGGCTCAGGTCTAGAAAACCGAGAAAAACGTCCGTGGGGATCCGTTGCGCTGACCACGTGACACCCTTTATCAGCTACATTCGGCACTAACTTCGTCTACAAGCGGCGATCGCTCGGTCGGTATAGTTCGCTTGCGGACTACAGGCCACGAATTCTTTTTTGTTTATAGGTATCATATTTATTTTTGATGGAGTGTCTTTCTACCGGATTCTTCCATCCCTTATAGTTTGAGTCGATCTTGTATAACTTATAGGCTAATATTAACGGCATGAAGCATAGTGAGGACTTTGTGATAAAAGGTTCTCTAGCTTATCTAATTAACGGAAAATTTCGACTTCGAATTCTAACCCTAGAGGCATTTAATATTTAATTTAATGCAGATTACTGTATCTAGTTTTCAAGAAGACAAAACATTAAGGGAAAATTTTCTCTTGCTTTTATCTCCTATTTTCGAATTGTTCAATATTTGATAGAGCAAAAGGCTATTACTTGGTGAAATAAATCACGCACTTTATTTCACATCTTCGTCACTTTAAGTTGATAAAAATAAATTATTTTTATCAGATGCAAGTAAATAGGAATATTCGTAATTATACCTGACGCAACAGAAAAATGGCTGCAAACACGGCACTTAATGTCTGACAATTAATTTAAGCCTTGTAAAGGTACGACCACACAGAGCGCTACGTACGCTATGTTCGCTATACGAACAGAAAAATATCTTCCTTTATTGCCAATGTGACTGGCCACACAGACTTCCGTACGCTACGTTCGCTATGTTCGCTAGGTTAGCTGCGTCGAAGAGTGTTTGATTCTCGGCTATATGGAACCTCGCTTAACGAGCACCTCTCATAACGAGTAATTCGCATAACGAGCAAAACAAAGTGTAAAAAAATTACTCTCTTAACGAGCGACGTTTCGCTTAACGAGTGACGAGAGGGGAAGTCTCGGATTGTGCGCTTGCTACATCAGTCTGTGTTTAGCACTCGTTCCGCTAGCATCTTAGTGTCGCTTGTGATCACATATTTTTCCAAACTTGTGTTCAGACATATTATTTGTGATTTTTGTGTGAAAATTTTAATAACCCTTGCAAAAATATCCCCGAACAAAAAGCCGCAAAAAGACAGCCACAAGAGAATAAAAATAACCGTAGAAATGAAACGTAAAATCATTGAAACGCGAGAACGAGGTGTGAGCGTGGCTGATCTAGCACGCACATACAATCGGTCTACATCAACGATTTGCACGATTTGGAGTTGCATTATGTTTCACAGCAAGAAGTTGTGGAGGAGAGTTTGTCAGACGAGGAGGAGGAGGTAACAGCAAAGCAACAATCTTCTGGCGCAATAATAGAAATGCTGAAAGCATGAGAAACTGTTGCATCGTACATTGAGAAGCATCACCCTAATAAGGCAGTGGCTATGCGCGCTACAAATGTATTTAATGATAATGCTGTGTCGCATTTTTACCAAATTTTGAAACGTCGGCAAAAACAAATGTCTCTAGATAGCTTTCTAGTAAAGAAGAATTAGATGTGTATCATAAATAATAAACTAATTATTTCAATTTTTTTTTTTTGCTGAAAATCGAATTCGCATTCCAGGTTGGTTCATTCCGCATAGAAGAAAAGATGAAGATGATTCACGCTCCTTAACAATGTATATATAATTTTCTTTGAATAAACGTTATACATAAAATTTTTTGAGTATTTTTTTCGGCATGGAACGCATTATCGCATTTTACATTAATTTATATGGGAAAAATTGTTTCGCTTAACGAGTGTTTCGCATTACGAGCAAGATTCTGGAACTAATTATGCTCGTTAAGCGAGGTTACACTTTATTTTTGAAACGTCGCGCTGGATGGGCATGCGCACTGGCCTCGCTTCCAGGTGTCAGCTGCGCGCCTCAGTACTTCCCCACTCTGATTACAACACGTGTTACATATCATTCAGCGCAGCATTGCCTTAGATGAAAAAGACACTGGAGGAATTAATAGAAGAAGTGAGGAAGTATCCACGTTTGTGGAACAAAGGGTTAGAAGAATAGCGGAACTAGAACATGCGGGATAATGCTTGGGACATGATTTCTGGAGAATTGAATACACCAGGTAATGTACAAATATTGTTCTTTTATCTATAAGTGAAGAACTTAAAATATTTTAATCAACCCTATTCATTCAGAAATATTCTTTAAATTAACTTCATCTTCACGTAACTGCTCTATCAGATGATGAAATTCACCAAACTTTGTTCTTCTTAAGTTCACGCCATGCACCCACTTCCTTTTAGGTTTACACAAAGAAAGTAACAGCAAAAGCTCATGGTCGGAATCATCGCTGCCCCCCCCCGGCACACTGTCGGACAACATCTCATTCAAGACTGAACAGTTTCGTACCAAACATAGCTTTCTGTGTGGCCACGCGGTGTAGCGAACATAGCGTACACGGCGTACGTAGAGTACGTAGGGAACATAGCGAACATAGCGTAGCGCCCTGTGTGGCCGCACCTTAATTCAATTTATATTTTGTGGCCTACGTCATAGATTCCTCATCATTAACCAAAGTAACAGCATAAAATATTTTTACGGCACGGAATGTTTTGAATGAGTTACTGTAGCATGTCGGTCAATTCACATGGCTCAGAGGGTGAAGAATGTACCGACGGTTTGACATTTAACACTACATATGACAACTTGAACACAGCAGGGAACTTTAAAAAAAAAAAAGAAGTGTTATCAACTGGAAGCCCATTGGTATAAAGAATAGAAAGAGTCTGTTACCTGACGGAAATGTCATGTACTTGTCTCCCCACCCGCGGTAATATTCATGGCTTCTTGAAGGGAAAAGAGGATAATGCTCATGAAGCTTCATTTCCGTGTACAACGAAAAGGTAGTGAGTGCATGTACTAGCCGGGTAACGCCGGCACGCGGCCTGCTCACTGCTTACACCCGTATGCAAATGGTACTTAATACAAGGGCGGGGGGAGGGGGAGGAAGACGTGACGGGAAGAGAAACATATGTTTCATCACCGTTAGAGCTTCCTGTTCGCTTTTAGTGTCGTGATTCAAAGTGGCTAAATCATTTCTTGTCAAAAAGCAGACGTTAGATAGCCAGGAACTGGTGTTACCATAAAAAACACAACGCCTGACGGAAGGGAGGCAAACACAAACAGAGAAATTTACTTAAATGAATGAAGAGTTCTGTCTTCTCTGATAAAATGCAATGTAGATCGGTGGAAATCACCGGACGTTTCGGATTAGTATATCGCCCCGATGTATGGGGGTTGAAGAGCGCCAAGAAAGACAGCAGCATGAAGTAGTCAGCAAACAGAGCTGTGTAGGGTGTGATACTATTACGTCATCATTTGGATTCCCTTCGTTCTGACATAAATACAGTTATATTAATCTCTCTCTTCAAATACATCGGTTCTAGTGCCACGTTTGTCACGTGAATGCACTGAAAGTTTTCACCAATAAGGCCGACATTTAAGAATTAAAAATAAACAAATACTTCTAACTATTCACTAATAAGAACGTACAAAGAGTGTCTGTACTTACGTACACTCTATGTAGGAACAATTTTCTGTCATTTAAATCTCAGCATTATTTATGACATCATTTAATGTAAAACATACACGTTGCTTTAATAAACAATAATGTGACATGACGCCTGAAAGTCGGAATAGTCCTTTGCTAGACAACGGCTCTCTAAATTGTTTCCTCTATAAGAAATAGGGTTGCGGAAGTCAAAGCGTTATTACGAAATCATCAAACGTTTCTATGGAGCTACGATTTCCTAGAAACTGGCTTGGTACGGAAGGCATTTTCCGTGTCATCGGAGAAGCAACAAACATTCTCCATGGTGTCCGCTAGTCTATATAAGGATCCTTCCAGAGAAGAATGGATTCATTCTTCGTTTGTCATTCGTCCTCTGTTCAGTCGCAAGTGAGCCGTTATTGGGGCGTTCAGTCTCAAGCGATTTCAGTAAGCAGTTGAATAGTTTAGTGTTCAGCTGTGGAGTGTTAAGCAGCGGACAGCGGAAGCTGAAGCAGTGACTTATCCGTAAATCAGAACCAAGTCAGTCACAGTAGAAGAGAAGATATTCCTAGTCCAGTAACGAATGAAGCGAGTGTTAGGCAGTCATTGATTGTGAATTGTTATAGTTGATTGTAATGAAGAAAGATTGTAGTAGAAGTGCCAATAAATCAAATCATCCAATCCGGAACCCGTTATTATTTGTCACGGAACCTCGGACACGAGACAATATTTACTATGTAGGATTACAATTCTTATATTAAACTAAAGTTATCAAAACTACATAAAGTTAGATCTTAGAATAGGTTTAGACAATTTAATTTTGATACATACAATAAATACGAGTTTGTAAGTTGTAAATTTTGGATCAGGCTATATCATGAAGAATGCTCAGTTCAAATCGCTGGAGATTGTTAGAATACAGTGACTCGTGATACGTTCTCATAATTTACATACTATTTCATGCCTACAATTTTCAACATGTGAAAATTTGACGTAATTATGCAATGAATTTATTTCACAAATGTACTCTTAGCATTAAAGTAGAAGCACAACCATCAACGTAACTCCGGTTATTTGGTTGAATGTGACATTCTTACGTTATACCTTGTTCCACCCCGATGAGCCTCAACAGATAGCCCTATCTGCAAGCACAAGCAGAAAGTCTTGTACCAGTAACTTATCTATGACGCTTCGCTTAGTTATCTTTCAGTTCTAGATCTGTCTGGAACGGTGAGTAGCCTGTCGCGACGAGGTAGTATAGACAGTGTCACGTAACTTCGAACAAGACCCCGCATTCATAGCCAAATCCCGCGCATAGCGTGTGGTGGGAGGAGTTTCTTAACACTTGTTCTTCCACTGGCCGCCTCTTCACTTCTCACACCCGCCACCCTCTTGTCTGAAAACTTTCTTCTGCGCATTCAAGATTACTCTTGCCTTTGTTCAAAGTTACGTGACACTTGCTATAGGTATCACGGAAACTGAAAACTCGAAACCGGCGCTTGCTACCGAGTCTCCTGGATACTGCAAGAAGGAACTATAACGATATCAACCGAGTGACTGCGCAGCAGCTTTCTTGGAATAGTCCTATCGCGCAGGCGATCATGAAATTCCTCATCATCTTTGAACCCGAATATTAAAAGCTGTGTTCTCGAGATTCCGCCACAGGACCTTATACTAAGAAACCTGACTTAAACGCGAGTCCTCACGTATTATTTTAAGCATATTCACAGTCATTAGTCTACGAACGCCTAGGTCTTCCAAGAAATGACCTCTCTTCTGTTTCTCCCACTAAATATTGTACACATTTTTCATAGAGAAATATGTTCTACAGATCTTACCCTCCACGGAATCCGAAACTATTGTAGTATAAAATAATATTAGTAACAGTGGTGATATGAAGAAGAAGAAGAAGAAGAAATAAAACGATGATGATTGTGATGAAGATATGAAACTATGGACTTTGATATTCTAATAATATCAGAAGACGATGAAAGTTATTACGGCAGACAAATCGCTCCATGGGCGTCGTCCCTGTGACTTTCGCAAATCTCAAATTGATGTAGACGGCCGAAGGCATGGTTTAATTAATCTGTGTTGTATGTTTGATAAAGCATGTCTTTACGATAACTGTACAAGTTAATGTCATTAACAGACTAAATTGCAACAAAAATGCTCTTAACTATGCTCTAGTTACAACAAGGGAACTATACAATATATTATATCAAGTTGCAATATTGTAGCATCAACGAAATACGCGCTTAAACCGAGACAAGACAAAAATCTAAACAGATATATCAAGACATGCTTCTGAAAACAGCTTAGTAATAACTGCAGTCCCTTACTTTCAGCTTACATCAGAAAGTAAGACGAGATGAAGGAAATATTAGGAGACCGAACGTTACTAACCAACAAGGAAATGCAACGTAGTGGACCTGATATAGCATTGGTTGACAGCACCAAAACAATTATACGAGGGGGTACCCAAAAGAAACAGAACTTATATTTTTTAACTTATTTATTCAAATTTTAAGCACAAACCTTCAATCCCCTTCAAAGTACTCTCCACTTACACTAATACACTTGTCTAGTCTTTTATTCCATTTTTCAAAACATTGTCCAAATTCATCTTTTGAGATGCTTGACAGCGCCTCCGTCGTTTTTTTCCTTTCATATCTCTTTTCATTCGAGGAAACAAAAAAAAAAGTCGCACGGGGCAAGGTCGGGTGAGTATGGAGGGTGAGGAACAGGGGTCATACCATTTTTGGTCAAGAATTGTCGTACAGACAGGGCTGTGTGAGCAGGGGCATTGTCATGATGGAAAAACCAGTCACCGGACTGCCACAAATCTGGCCGCTGAGCTCCTAGTCACTCCCGACAGCTCCACAATTTCTTCAATGGTCCGTCGTCGATCTTCCTTGATGATTTCACCAATTTTTTCAACATTTTCATGTGTTCGGGCAATGGAAGGACGACCAGAACGAGGTTTGTCATCAATTGACATTTCACCATTTTTGAAACGGGAAAACCACTCAAACACTTGAGTTTTCCCCATAGAATCGTCCTTGTACGCCATTTTTAACATTTCAAGAGTTTCTGTTCCACTTTTCCCGAGCAAAAAGCAGAATTTCACCGCCGCACGCTGTTCACGAAAATCAGCCATTGCAAAAACGACGATCACACAAAACAGTTGTCACTATAAACTCTGCCGAAACTAGTCCTTACCTTCTGAAGCAACGGTAGTCGGCTTATCGACTCAGGAATGTTAGCTCTATGCGCTCATAGAGGCAAAACGCGGTACTACAAAAGCTCTGCCCCAAAAAAAAAATTAGTTCGGTTTCTTTTGGGTACCCCATAACTAGTATAGCTATACATAAACTGAAAGTTTCGTTATTTCATGTAACAGGAAATTCCGGAAGTAGGTTAAATTTGCATAAGGAATGAAACAGCAACAGGTGACAACACTACAGGTTAAGAACACACAAATGTCAGATATACCGACAGTACTGTGTGTTTTATTTGCGGCTACGGGCCAGCGAACACAAGGGCATTTATTACAAAACTAACTCCATGGA